AGCTAAAGATAGAGAAGTCTATAAAGTGTATGCGTTAAAGAAAAGAATTTGAAGCATCCCCCCCATAAGAGCACTTTTAGAATTTTTTTAAAAGATCTTTTATAAATAACACACACACACACACACACACACACACACACACACACAGACACATATGCACGCTACGTTTAACATGCAAAAAACCTCAACACCTCATCCTCTATATTGGAAGAAATGTTTGAATTCTACCATCTATTGGCAAGTTATTTCTGTGATTTACATTTCACTAACTGATAGACTAGGGAGGCAGTGGCTCAGTGGCTAAGACGCTGAGCTTGTCGATCAGAAAGGTCGGCAGTACGGCAGTTTGAATCCCTAGCGCCATATAATGGAGTGAGCTTGTCCCAGCTTCTGCCAACCTAGCAGTTAGAAAGAATGTAAAAATGCAAGTAGAAAAATAGGAACCACCTTTGGTAGGAAGGTAACAGCATTCTGTGTGCCTTAACTGTTAATCTTAACTTTGCCTAATTGATAGACAATAGGAAAATATTAAGAGTTTTACTTAACAACATACTGTTAGTTAAATTGCTTTCTACGGCTACACAGTAGTTTTTTTTAAAAAAAATTCTCTTTCAGAAAAGTGCTTCAGAGCTAGGAGGAATGTATATTACCAGTTGGAATTCATTAAAGCAGCTATATCTATATCCAACATTATTAGCTACCATAGGGTTTCTGCTGCAGCCATAGAAGAGATGCAGCCATAGAAGAGATCAGCTACAAATAACTGATAGTGGTTGCATTTGCATTTGTGCTTTCACTAATTTCCCCCCATCTTACTCAGCTGTCAATGATTTCCCCCCTGCATCAGTTTATAGTTTTGTAATAAAATATATACTAGCACTGAGAAGGTGTTCTTTCTAAACCTTTCCCTATAGCACTGATATCATTTCATGATCTGCAACTTTATAGATGAGATTGATTTCGTGGGACTACAGGAAACTTTGAAACATCAGAGAAATGCCTCACAGTGAACAAAATTTAAAGCATCTCACCTAGTTTATTAAAGTCTATCTGTATTGCTAATGTTCCTAGTTCAATCTGGATTTTCATCAAATATTATATCCTAACCATTATTTAATTGGCTCATCCAGTTACAATTTACATTCAGTCCTATTTCAGAGAAATGGAAATGAAGGGCAATGGGATTTTGACCATTGCTGACATAGCCTAGCACTCCCAGGACTATGCTGCAAATAGATTTAACAAAAAGTACAATTGTAGTAAAATAATGTAGAAGCATAGGATGATTTTATCTGGTTTGATTAGTGACTACTGGCAACTATCATCTTACACAAAACAGGCAATATGCAATTAGCTTATGAGACTCTATTAGAGAGTCTGAATTTAACAAAATATAGGTAAAGTTGCCACCAACTAAAAAAGTATAAAAATGCTATTTTCTGAATCTAATTAAGAGTCCTAATTAGCTACAACATATTTTACATTTTTTTTCCTGGCTGTTAGCCTCAGTTCCTGCCAACCTAGCAGATCAAAAGCATACAAATGCAAGTAGATAAATAGGTACCACTTTGACGGGAAAATAACAGCGCTCTGTGACGTCATGATGGCCACATGATCTTGAAAATGTTTTTGGACAGTTCTGCCTCAATGGCCTTAAAACGAAGATGAGCAAACCCCCTCCCCTCATATTCGGCAATGACAAGGAGAGTAAAATGGACTCCTTTACCTTTTAAAAAAATAAAGCTAAAATGTAAATAAAATACAAGGGATCTTAACACAGTCATAAAAAAATGAAAGTAGAATAAGAAAATGGGAAGCTAAAATATTTCATCAGGAGGCACAACTCCCTATAACTGTAAATTTGAGAAGTTCATCAAGGGAAAAAGCAATAAAAGCTGAATTTAAAACCTGTTCTTATAGTTGCTCACAAACAAGGATTTTTCTCTTTAAATGAAAATAAAAATTGTTTTGTGGTAGGTCAAAATAAAAATTATTTTATGGTAGTCAAAATAAAAATTATTCAAAAAATGACAGAAATCTCTAAAAATGTGAAAAACATTTGAAAAATGTTTTTCAAATTTGAGGAGCCTTGATAATGAGGAGCCCTTAAGAAGGTTGCAACATATATGAAATTCTCCCTGAAATGTTATTTATTGTTTTATGGTTATTTCAAATTTGTTTTTAATTGTTTTATGGTATTCCGCCCAGAGTCAAATTAGTGAGATGGTGGCTATATAAATTTAACAAATACATGTTAATATTCAAAAAAAAATTCTGTGCTATCACTTCCATTAAACATAGGGGACACAACATACAGACAATGGACATGGGTGTCAAAATTTAAATACCACATAACATTGCCATGTTTTGGAGAAGAAATGGACTCAAGATATTTTCTTCTGCTTCCTACTCAAACAAGGAAGAGAACTTAATGAACTTAATTTGTTCATTTGGCCTTTGATCATGTGCCATCAAGTCGGTGTCTACTCTTAGCAACCACATAAGATTTTCCTCAAAGAAACTAGTGAAGTGTGGCTATGACAACGGCCCCGAGGAAGAGGAAGAAGAGCTGAAGCCAAAGCAACAGTCAGGTAAGAGAAATCTCAGCTGCAAACAGGAATGGAATTTAAGAAAATGTCTGTGATAGTATTCATGTCTTTGGTCTTCAAGTTTGGTTAAATTTAAAGAGCTTACAATACTAATTTAGGAAGCTTAAATAATCCCAATATTTTATAGTGTACTGTCAAACTAAGTTGCAGAATTGTTATTATCTAACATGCCAGTTGCCTCACATTCTGTTGCCTCAGTTCACTCTGAGGAGACAGACGTTCCACTCCTTCACTCAGGAGCGGTCTGGGGCTCCTTACAGTACTAAACGTCGGTACCTCACCATAATATCTACGCCTTCCACCTATGGAACTGCTTCTGGACTCAAGGTGGCAGGAGCGATATTCCCTTATGTGTTTCAATCACTGATCACCATTGAGCTAATGGATTGAACTGGATTTCTCTTGCATTGCCCAATCACATAGTTTCGTTGTGAAGCACGAGTATCCAACTAGTTACCTATATACTAGTTTCCATGAACCAAAGGCAAGCTATAGACTCAGACTCTCTCCCTCTCCCTCCCTCCCTCCCTCCCTCTCTCTCTCTCTCTCTCTCTCTCGCACACACACACCTTTTCAGATCTTTATTTCTGGAGCTAAAATAGAGTTTGAAATGGCTCCAACAAAATATTGAATTTAGCAGCCTAGGCATCAAGCAAAAATTTCCAAATATAATGAAATCTCAGGAAAGAAGATTCTAATATTAATTACATCAATATCCTAAACTGTTACCTCTGTCTCCAAGATCTCTGAAAAAAGTTGGTCCTGGTTTAGCCTTCGTAACATTTGCTAGGGTAGAATCTACTTCCTTTGAACAAACCAAATAAATGGTAAATTAGTTGTGAAAGCAAAATCCATTAAAGCAAGTATCAGAAAGAACAAAAGTTCTTTTGACAAACAGCATCAACTCTTTGCCTACCTTTTTTGTCAGTTTCTTGGCCAAAGTTTTACCTGTCCAAAAAAGAAAGAACACACCAGTCAATCATCTGTAAGTCAAAGCTTTGTTGAGTTCTGCAGAGTTTCTACATACTGTGTTTTTAAAAGAGAACTTGCAAGTGACATGAAGAGAACACTACCAAGAGCTTAGAAATATTTAAATGTTTATAATAATTAGGAAAAAAAAACTACTGTTCTAGGATGACAGGAATAATCTGTTCAAACATTGCTACAATGCATAACAAATAGAATATAATAAAGTTTTAGATCTTTAACTTTAAAAAAACTAATATACTTTCTATTCATTACATTTATACATGGGCATAAAACTGAAATCACAAAAAACAGCTGTAATACAGCCTCCTTTCAGACTTTTAGATATTCCAATTATAATCCCTAAAATTGCAGTTAATATAGCCGACATGCATCTTCCAGACCAAATGGGCTACAACAATTTTAAAACTTATTACTATAAAAGACCACCATTGGAAACATTTAGGACATTAGACCAAGTATGTGACAGGTGGCTATTATAGCTTTTCTTTTTCTTTCTAGTTCTTACCTATCTCCTATGTGAATGTAGTGGAAATGAAAGTGGTTTGAGTTTTGTTAGTGACTTTCTACTTGAACAGCTGATGAGTTCTCCCTGTTACTCTTGGACCATATGAGAAGCCAAAATAGAATTTCACTTTTATCCACATCCAAGAACCCCAAATACAGTCACATGGAGCTGGGATGGGGCAACAGCTGACATGCCTGCAGAGAGGACCCACCCCGGCCTCGCCCACCCAGTTGGCTGTGTCAACTGGGCCACACCCACTCTGGCCTCCCAAGGGCAAACAAAATCCTGCTATGGCCCACGATGGGATTGAGTTTGACACCCTGACTTAGATACTTCAAACTGCCAATGGAAATTAGCTCAGACGATAGGGTGCTTTTTAGCATCTTTCCTCCTTTGTAAACATCCATTTGCATAGCTTTTAAACAACCGCAGAAATATGAAGCACCAATTGGAAAAAAAGCACATTATCTATAACTTTGCATGTATGAGAAACTGATACAAGAATCAATGATTACATCAATGTTCTCTGTCATAAAAACAATTTTTGAATAGTTAGTTTTAGAGCTGGATATCAAATGAATGTCACACATGTCTTTGAAATCTAAATTTTATAAAGTCAGAGCTTTGTAATGTACATTTTACTTAGCTATTAGTTATATGTTAATACCAATGTTCAGGCTAAACCTTTTGTTAGTATCTCAAGGGCAATGAATTCAGCCCATGTTTCCCTGCATACAATGCACTTACCCTATGCCTCTTTAGGAAGAACAGACATATAACCTTTTGTTATTCAAAAGTCACTACTTTATCATTTGTGATAATGTTGTAACGCAAAGGAAAAGTGCAGCATTAATAATGATCCTTGGGTAGAATTTTCCACAATTTGGAGTTGTCCTTTCCAATTGTTTAAGCAGAGCAAACGATCAGTCTTAGCTTTGCTTCCTGTTTTGCTGGTAAGTTCCTGCTGTCACCATTTATCTTTCAAGGGGCAACTCATTTGACATCCAATATCTCTTAATGTTTTTCTGGCCATTAAAAAGTCAAAAAACTGAAATGACTGTAATTGGACCATCTCCTGACTGTAATGTAAAGGCATGGTGACAAGGGGATTCAGCATTTTCTCACCCTTTTGCAGATAAATAAAAATCAGAGGTCACAAAATCAAATGATGTTTTTTGAAAAAGGGTAAAACATTAAAAAAAAATAAAGCATTAAAATGAGGACATTTATTATGAAAGGAAATAATTACAAATTTTACATGAAAAAGGAAAATCCAAAAGAAAACCCAGTGCTCCAGGCAGGCCACAAGATGGCACTGGTCTCCAAAAAAATAATAATCTGCAAAATATAAGAATATTCTAAGAAAAAAAAGTATCTTCATGCAGTTATCCTTAAATATGCTGAAATCAAACATCCAATTCTGTAACTTATATTCCAGAAAGCTAAGAAAATTTAGATTTAATGGAACAGAAAAATAAAAATAAATCCCTAGGTAGGTATTTTACCCTTTTCCATAAATTTGGTTCCTGCAATGCACTCTACATGGGGCTGTCCTTCCAAGTCAGAAGTGGGGAGGACACTCTTAGTCCCTTCCCTTCAACATTTATCATCTATCAGGAACTAGGAAGCGTGCCTTTTCCATATAAGCTCCTGCCCTAGGGAATATCTTCCCCTCTGAGGTTTGGCAGGCCTCTACCCTCCTACACATCCATAAAGCCTTGGACTTGAATTCCCCAGCGAGCATGACTGACTGGGGAATTCTGGGACTTGAAGTCCACCCATCTAAAAATTGTCAAGTCTGAGAAAGACACCATTTATTGTAAGCCGCCCGGAGTCCTTCGGGAGTGGGCGGCATACAAGACCAATAAAATACAAATACAAATGCAAATACCATTAGAGGGTATCAGGCAAAGCGAAAGCTCCATTTTTCTACTAGACTTCTTTGTTTTAAAAAGACCAAATTTCCTCTATATCTAGCAGGACAAAGAGCTGAGATACCTGTGTATATGACCAAAACCAAATTCAGTTGTGGGAGTATAAACGAAGAGTCTTTAGTCTGCTGTTGCATTCAGAATAAACTGCATCTGCATCATCTAATTCAGTTTGTCTCATTTTGAAGTGATACACAAATAAGAAGAAATTCTCCTTCTTAATTTCTCTTGACTAGTATCAGAGAGGATACTTCAATTTGGCAAATGGACAAATCGGCATTCATTCAACAGCATTGTTTAAACAGCACTTACGCTCTGATTTGTCAAACATAACTGAGAACAGGAAGTCTCTTGGAGTCATGTAATATTCTCCTCCATATTCCAAAGAAGCAAATTTCATAAAACGTTGCTTTCGAATGGAAAGCTTTTCTGCCATCTCTTCATCCACCGCATCTTCCTTCTAAAAGACAGGCAAGGAGATAGCACATACAGGTAAATTTATTCATGACTAGAACCACCAGCTATGACTCAGCAACAGAATAGGACCTGAAACTATATCATTGCTGCATGCTGCAAAACAAATATTTATTTTAGACTAAGGCAATTGTCAAAAGGACCGTTGGCGTTTATGCACACATCTGTTTGTGGGTTTGTAGGCATTAAAAAAAAATTACTCCTGAATCTTACCCAAACTCATGGATAAGATGAAAGCAATGAGGTGTGATTAAATTCTAAATGTAATTTCACTTCATTAGATGATGGCCAACGCTGTGTCATTAGGCAGAAAAGATAAAAAGACAATATAAATAATCAAAAGACTAGAACATCTTCGAGTAAGACAAGATGCCCGAGATGCTTTAATTGAGAAAAATTGTGTAAGTGATCAAGGGAACAGGGAGAGAAGAAAACATCCGTCACAAAAATGGCAGTGGATTGTTGAACAAATGTTGGTGCACAAATAAATGTTGCCTCTTGGGGTGAACAAATGAATGCTATTACATGAATGAAATGATGGGGCTTGGGGGGGGGGGCTTTTTGCCCCACAAGACAAGGTGCAGGGTGGGCATAGATAGGAGGATATAGGCAGGTTGGCGGGGGCGTTGGCTTGAGGCTATGAGGGACAAAGTCCAGAATGGCCTGCATTGGATACTCGCTTACTGAGCCACAATTCTTGATTAACAACTGCAATGCGGACTGACAGGATTGCGGCAGAGGTGGTATTCAGCAGGTTCTGACCAGTTCTGGAGAACCAGTAGCAGAAATTTTGAGTAGTTCGGAGTACTGGTAAATACCACCTCTGACTGGCCCCATCTATTCTCTGCCTCCCGAGTCCCAGCTGATTGTGAGGAAATGGGGATTTTGCAGTAACCTTTCCTTAGAGTGGGGTGAGAATGGAGCCTTTACAGTATTCTTCCCCTGCCACGCCCACCAAGCCATGCCCACAGAACAGGTAGTAAAATTTTTTGAATCCCACCACTGGATTGCTGTCTCTAAGTGAAGCAGTCACAAGACCCCTCATTACACGATTGCATGACTTAGCAGCTAAAATTCCTGTCCCAACTGGGGTTGTAAATTGAGGATTATCTTGTATTCCTATTTTGGAAATAGTAAACTAGAATCCACTTTCCTATATTTTCAATTGCTTTTGTTATGCCCTAAATTTTGGAATGACAGAGAAATAGGTCTTAACTGTCTTCTGTGAGAAACTACTCCATGTATATTAAGAATGTTGTATTTTTCCTCATAGCCTTCTCTTCTCAAGGCTAAAATATCCATTCCCTTAGTTTGTCACTCCAGGAGTGAAGTTTTAATCTGTTAACCTTCATTGCCCTTTTCTGAAATTCATTCCAATTTGTCTGAATGTTTTTGAAATTCCACTGAAAAATAGTAACAATATTTAAGGTGGAGGTCTAACCAATGTGAAATAAAGTGGACCTATTCTTTTCAGTCATTTGAAAACATAATGCTATTGACGCACTTATCTTTTTGGAATCACGTCACATTGCTGACTCATATTTGGCTTGTTAACAAATATAATTTAAGGAACCCTTTCACGAGCAGTATTGTGAAGCAGGCTGGTTCATCTGAATTCACACTTTGTTCATTACATATTATTTTCTATGTATTCTGCATCTCTTTAATCCTTCAATTCTTTCCTTCTTTATTATCATTTATTTGCCTTGCTTGAAAGTTAGAAGTCTGCAAAAGGATATTTTACTGGTAGAGATAGACATAAAGGTAGCCAGAATAGGAACACTGCTTGTTGCCCATAAAGGAAAAATTGCAAAAGACTACAGGAAGTATTATGACATAAGTATCAAGAAAGCTAGATTGAACATTACTGTTGCCTATGAAAATCAAGTTTCTGTTATGTCAAGTTCCTGTTGACTTCATAATGATCTCCTCCTTCCCTATTTTATTTATTTTATTACTAGCTGATAACCTGGCATGCCCAGGTATTTATTTATCCTAATCCTGTATTAGACATGAAAAGCCCTGATTTCGGCGACAATTAAATTAGTTGCAAATGTTTTTCTGTGCCCCCCAGAAGCGTCAAGAAAAGTGACACCACCTTAATTTCTAATGTTGGATTTTCCCCCTTACCAGAGGGGAGCCCCCTTGTGGAATACTGTGAAGTCATTATCATGGCAACTCTACTGTGCTGTACAGTAGAAGCCATTTTATGGCAGTACGGTAGAAGTCATTGTAAGGCACAACAGGCTGTGTCTTAACAGAACACATACCCTGAGGGGTCTTACCCCCACAGTATTTGTTTCCAGAGAGTAAGTCATCTGTGTACCAAGTTTGGTTGAAATTGCTTGAGGCGTTCCAGAGTTATGCTGGAACGAACACAAACACACACACACACACATACACACACACACACCACACACACAAAATATATTATTTCATTTATTTCCTTCCTTGGTTTCCCTTTCTCTAAAGATATAAAGACCCAGCATTATACATGAATTCATAAATACACTGTCAATTTGTACATTCAAATCCTTACTCCATCCTCTTATAACTGATCCATACCTCAGTTCTAATTAATCTTTACACCATAGAGGAAGAACTGAGTCTGAAGTCTCTCAAGCCCAGGCTGAGGGCTTGGTACATTCTGAAGATCTTTTAAAATGCAATCAAAAATAAGCAGGGTGTCCAGTGAAGAGCAATGCAATACTGCTCTCCTGAGTTTAGTGTGCACATACAATTTCTATTTATTCTGATGAAAAATGAGTTTTAAAAAACCAGTGCTCTGGTGAACTACAGTATCTCAACAAAACAAACATACTTATGGGCTTGCTCTCTGACATAAAATTTTATTTCTGTCTGTCCATCCATCATCCATCCTCCCATCTCTGATCAATAGAGCAAACAGCACCAAGCAGAGACAAATTGTAGAAGCCAAAGCAAAATGCCTTTTCATCCTGCCTTTACTCTTGCTCCGGGTGAATGTTTTGTATGCCTTTACAGATTCCTTAAAACTCTTTTAGCTTTAATTTCACGGACGTGTTAAACAGAACAGTGTACTCAGCTCTATTCTCTTTATGACTCAGGGGTTTTCTCTCCCTACATCGTTGACAATGATGACTGAAGCAACGAAAGTGCTGGCACTCTCAAGGGATGCCCTTCAACCAGCAACCTAAAAGTGAGTCACGACCGCAACTGAGTTTTTGTACTTGCTACAGAGGGAAGAGCTGGCGGTGGGGTGTGTGTGAGTGTGAAATCACAAGGAATCTGGTAGCATTTTTTCTAACAAATGTTCTTGAAAGCCCTAAGTTGCCGAGGTTGAGTAGCTTATCCCTTTCAATGAAAGTGCTAGAAACGGTGCTACTGGATTCCTTTTGAGTTTTGTTCTGCAATTCTTCCCTTTGGTGGGGAAGTTGAATAAAGCCAGCTGAGCTATAAGACCACTCCAATATATGATAACTTTTTCAAAGATTTCCTGCTTATCTTAAGAACATTTTCAAATTTTACATTATTCTAAGAGCAAACAGATAATACTAGTAGTTCAACCACAAGTTCCTTTACTTTAGTCTAACTAAATTCAATAGAACTTATCTCCAGTTAAGTATATATACAATTATGATCTAAGTAGGCAAACCTGGTACTTTCAAGATATGTTATATTACAATTTCAAAATTTCCCAGCCAACTATTGATCATGACAGCAAAATAAAAATAAAAAAATAAAAATACAGTCCAAAGACTGGCGAAAGTTGATCTGATATTAATCACCAGAAATATAAGCAATTTATGTTGAAAAATGAGTCATTTCATTCGTTTTCATTTTTTATTTTATTTGTCTTGTATGCCGCCCACTCCCGGAGGACTCCGGGTGGCTCACAACAGACAAGGGAAAGGGGATAAATAGACAAGACAACACTTTAAAAAAAAGACGCAACATTCACAATTTCCGTGGGGCTGGATGTTTCACAAGCCCCCCGGCCTGCTGGAGCAGCCAGGACTTGGTGGCTTTGCGGAAGGCCAGGAGGGTAGTAAGGGTCCGGATCTCCATGGGGAGGTCATTCCAGAGGGCTGGAGCTGCAACAGAGAAGGCTCTCCCCCGGGGAGTCGCCAGCCGACATTGGCTGGCAGATGGAATCCGGAGGAGACCTAACCTGTGAGATCTTATCGGTCTATGGGAGGTAATCGGCAGGAGGCGGTCTCTCAGGTACCCAGGTCCGATGCCATGTAGGGCTTTATAGGTAGCGAGTCAGAAGGATGGCTTTCAACTAGACTGAAGAATATCAGTTCTTTTGACTATTGGTATATATACATTTGTACAACTACCCAAGAAAAGTAGTGCTATAAATAATATTAGTTGTCATAGCTGTCATAACCTTCCTTGCTTTTAAAATGGTTTTGCCAGAAATTGACATTTACTTTCAGTTTCTGGTAAACACGGGACATAACAACCAAGGGTTTGCTTAATGATTGACACAAAATAATAATAAAAAAATATAACTCTTAATCAACACTGATGGAATTGGCCTTAAAGAAAGGGGGAGGGGGGAGGGAAGGAGCACAGGACCAGGCAACCTCTCTTGGAAGCTAATCCAAAACAATACCATGAATAATGGCATCAAAAGCTGCCAAGAGGTCAAATAAAACAAGAATAGATGCACTACCTCATCTTATTCCCACCAGAAGTAATCCCAAAATGTGAAGAATGCCATATCTGGCCTAGAACTGAAAGGGTCTACTTTCATCCAAGTATTAAGTGTTAAGAATAGAATAGATCAACTAGAACTCAAATGCTGAGATTTCACAAGTGATAGAACCAAGAGAAAAACCGCAATGGCAAATACAGCAAAATTTATGTTACATTGTTTTGCCTGGGGTCTGAATGTGTGAGAAAGAAAAGGCATAATAATTTAGGCATAATTGAATTGTAAAATGTATTCAGTTAATGTTTAGTTCAGATGGTAGGAATTCAGGAATTCTAATATATCAT